ACATCCTATAACTGCCGAATTGCATGATCATAAGGTCTTTGGTCGTTCCTCGTTAAACCACATTGTCCATGCAAGGCCGCTGTATTCTCGGTCTTATTGGTTAGTCCATCCCATGAACGTTTATCAGCACTGTCAGCACCTTGTGTTTGGCTACCCTGACGTAATAGAGGTTTCGAGGACAGTTTCATTTGCATCTGTGTGTGAGGGTTGTAACAGTATGCTCAGCTACCAACCAAAGGTTGAAGGTTCTAGTCTATGCAGAGGTGGCTGGTACAAAAGATCTGGTGATCAACTTATGCAAAACCAGCCATTAACCCTGCGGAGTCCAGTTCTATGATGACACGCATGGAGTCATTGTGAGTCGGAGTCCACATCACAGCATCTGGTTTGACACTTGTATCTGGAGTTAAAATGAAAGCGAGTTGAGTCTAAAAGCGGAATAGATCATGCCATCAGTCAACAAAGGGATCCCTGTTAGGCTCCAGATACTGTGCTGAGTGTCTCCGGGTCAGGACAGGGCAGGACAGACACCAAACGTTAGGTCTCTTTCTAAAAGGAAGACGGTTCCTGCATCCAACAACTAGCTGCAAGTTGACTTCCGGGGCCCTAGTAGGTGGTTCAAACTTACTAGCTGCTCCTTGGAAAATCCTATACAGGGTCACTATGGGTCGGAACCAACTTGACAGCACTTGACAACTACAATGAAATGTTGACCAAATATAGCAGGCTCAGTTTTCAGTTGATAATTCTGTTTGGTCCATGAATCCAAATGTCCCTTGGCAGGAAAAAAAAGGGTCCTCACCCCTGCTGTATAGGGTTTCCGAGGAGCGGCTGATGGATTTGAATCACCGATCTTGAGGTGCCACTCCAGGACTCCACAGCTGAAGTCCTCATTCAATCCGACCTCAGCAGCTGTGACTGGTGGGCAGGTGAGGTGTCTGCAGTTTCACAGACTCAGCAAGGAGTCACAAGTCCTTTTGGTCTTGCAGTGTGTGTTCATTCCTCATTGCTCCTTGTTGGAGGTGGTGGCACACAGAGTAGCAACTGACATAGGGCTCTACCCTCAGATGCTTCCTCTCTAGTCCTGTTTCCCCAGGTGCTGCCAGGTGGGGTGGTCAGGGTTACGCTTTGTCTTCATCTCGCAGACATCCAGGTTCAGCTGGGAGGAATCTCTGCTGATGCTTGGCAGCATCTCCCTGCAAGGTGCAGTACTGTAGGATAAACACTGGGCTGCACTGTAGGGCAACCTATCGGAGGTTCAAACCCAGCAGCCGCTCCTTGGAACCCCTATACAGGGTTGCTATGAGTCGGAACTGACTGGATGTCACGAAACAAAAAATCTTTACAGGAGCAGACTGACACACCGTTCTCCTGAGGAACAACTGCCAACATTGAGGTTCACTGCCCAGTGCTTGACCCGCTGCACCACCAGGTCAAACCATATAAATAGTCAGTAGTACAGTAAAGAATTGATGCATTTGAGTTATGGTGTTAGAGAAGAATATTAAAAGTAGCATGGACCAGAAGACAAACAAATCTGTGTCAGACGAACTACAGACAGGATGCTCCTTAGAAGCCAGGAGGGAGAGCCTTTGTCTCACATTCTTCAGACATATTATCCGAAGGGACCAGTTGTTGGAGAAGGACATCATGCTTGGTAAAGTGGATGGTCAGCAAAAAAGAGCGAGACCCCCGAATGAGATGGACTGAGGCGTAGCATGAGCAATGGGTTCAGGCAAAGCAGTGACTGAGGATGGTGTAGGACCAGGCAGTGTTTTGTTCTGTTGAGCATAGGGTCATTATGAGTTGGAACCAACTCAATGGCAGCCAACAAACAAACAACAGTATAATAAAGCAAGGGGAAGGTGGCTGTCCCTCCCGGAAGCCACCATAAAAATTAGTCTTGGAAACCCCATAGGGCAGTTCTACTGTGTCCTATGGGGTCATTAGGAGTCGAAATCGACTCGACAGTGGGTTTGCTTGACTTCAGAATCATGTTGTTGTTGTGAACTGCTGCCAAGTCGGTTCCGACCCATAGCGACCCTGTATAGGGTTTCCGAGGAGCAGCGGGTGAGCTTGAACCGCCAACCAACCTTGCAATTCAAACGGCTTTGCAGTCTGGCTCATTAACCCACAGCACCGCACCAGGACTCCTCGGTACCATTTGTTGTTTGTTGTGGTTAGGTGCCATCGAGTCGGTACTGACCCACAGTGACCTTATGCACAGCAGAACGAAACACTGCCCGATCCTGGGCCAACCTCACTGCTGTTGCCACGCTGAGTCCATCGATGCTGCCACTTGGCTAATCCATCTCATTGGGGGTCTTCTTCTTTCCAGTACCATAAAACCTACTAAAGCTGGAACCTGTGTAAGGCAGAAACCTGCCAGAGAAGGAAACTCAAATATTTTCCACAAATAGTGATAGAAAAGTGGTAAAACTGTAACCCTGTCCCTGGAGAAACAAGGCAGTCCCACACAGTTCTGGCTCTCACTGTCCGCTTTCACCGTGATACCTGTGCCCAGCTCACTGCATCTGCCTTCCTGCCCCATAACCATGACTGAGTTCCCGTTCTCCAGCAGTGAAGGGAATGTCCTTTGGCAGTCTCACTGTTTCTGTTTGTGATTGTCCTAGTGACTCCCTGAAGGCAGCAAGTGTGAAGTGGGCTTTGTGAAACAGCTCTGAGCAAACAGACTCCCTCCTGCTCTCTAGGGGCGT